AGTACACTGGCGGGAACAGCTCTTCCTCTGGAGGTACGTCTCATAAATGACCATCAGCAAAAGCACTGTTGGCTCACCATATACATCCCCTCGCCCAACTTCTGCTCATCTCATACCTGACTCAACAGTGTTCTGTGTGTGTACATAGGTGGTTCTCCAGGACAGGACTCTGATAAGCCAGGCACTAGCGTAGTAGACATCCAATGTGCTCTGGACAACGTTGGAGCATCCGAGCTGGTCATCGACCTCATCGTCAGCACTAAGAACGACCGTATCTTTGAGGAGAGCATTTTACTGGGCATTGCACTCCTGAGAGGAGGAAATACACAGATTCAGGTATAAACAGGACACACATTCACAACGGGACATCTGTAAGATTCAGGTGATGTCATTTTTAGTGGTCGACTGATAATGTTTTTTTGATAGCCGATGCCGATATCTTGGAAAGCAGGGTGGCCGATATAAAGCCGATATAATTGTATTTATTTTAATTAATATTTAAGAAATTTGAAATAATTTGAAAATGGATTAAAAATAAATTTGTAAAATAAACATACTTATACTTTAGATGACAAAGTATTTTCCACAAATAAATACATATTTGATAAAAATATAATTAAAAAGGAAGTAAACTGTAACCAACAGAGCACTCAGTATTCTGGGAAGTTTGTGTGCATTGGGAATCATATTTTTTCAAATAAAGCCAAGGTAACACTCATTTTACAAACAGCACAAAGTGAAAATGACATTGATATGACAGTGGGCAAATGCATAAAGCGCAGCATAATTTGAAATCACGAATTTAATTTTTGAAGCATTCAATTAGCACAGACCAAAAGTCACGCAGAGAACACACTTCACAAGATCGCACAACAAGTTTGCAAGGTTTGTGAAATTTTATTTTCATTAGCCATTCAAAGATTTGTTTAAATAATGTAAATGCATATTTGCTGAATGCTGACGGCAAACGAGAAAGTATTATAATGTTTGCCTTTCTATTACTAATAATATAAAAACAATTGTTATAATACTATTTGTATACATTTTAAATCCTTTGTTTAACAGTTCTATCGGATTATTAGACAGACTTTTATCCCTATTAGACAGAACAGTTAACGACGACAGCGAACAAGAGGGAGAACGTGAGCACTGTGTGCTCAGGCGCTGCTGCTCTCAGCGCCGTCAAAATAAAAGTCCCGCCTCGAACGCATCGGCCAAACAGAAAAACTTATCGGCCAATGCCGATATTTGAAAAATGCCAAATAGGCCATATATCGGTCGACCACTAGTCATTTTCTGCATGTCTCCCTGCAGAACTCTTTCTACAGTCAGCTGCACAAGCAGAAGAAGTCTGAGAAGTTCTTCAAGGTCTTCTATGATCGAATGGAGCTGGCGCAGAAAGAGATCCGCTCCAGTGTGTCAGTCAACATGTTTGAGCTCAGCTGCAGGAAGAGAGAGGAGGAGGGCGAGGGCTCTGGAATCAGACATAAAAAAGGTATACGTCCACTTTCTCTCAGGTTCTTTCTGTCTAAACATGAGAAAAAGATTTACAAAAGCATAGTGAATATTAAAACGGTAAAGAAATGTTTCAATGTATTTCACCCTAATAGCAAAAGAACAATATAAACAATAATAATTAAAAGGCACAGTATGTAAGATTTTAGTAATAAAATATCCAAAAACAACTTGCTCAGTGTAATATATTTCATGGAGTTCTGTACTTACGTTATCCCAAAAGTTCCCAAGTATTTGTAAATATGAAATATTGAACATGATTCGTGAATTCCATGATGGTGAAAACGACATCTCCCATCGTTCCATTCTCCTTCATAGCAGCAAAAACTTACATATTGTGCCTTTAAGGAAATCTAGACTGCCTTTTTGTTGATTTTAATAATGTATTGATTGATTTGATATTTATTTATGCATTTATTTAGCAGACTAATGACGTGTGTGTGTGTATATATATGGGTGTAACAGTACGCGTAACACAGGCAAATTCCAAATGGAAGTGATCAATTCCTATCCCCTTGGAGTGGGGACTTTGGAGTGAGCAGGGCACGTGCGTGCCATTTTGTAGTCGTTTGGAATGCACTTGGCAAAGGGAGCGATGTAATTTCCTCATTATCTTCAGTTGGGATATTCCCATAACAACGCAGCACGGTGACTACATAATGGCACGCATGTGCCCTGCTCACTCCAAGGGGATAGGAATTGATCACTTCCATTTGGAATTTGCCTGTGTTACGCGTACTGTTACACCCATATATATACACACACACACGTCATTAGTCATTCCCATAACAACGCAGCACGGTGACTACATAATGGCACGCACGTGCCCTGCTCACTCCAAGGGGATAGGAATTGATCCCTTCCATTTGGAATTTGCCCGTGAACCGTTTGGTACACGATATGTGTACCATTACACCCCTATATATATATATATACACACACACACACATACATACATATACATATATAAGCAAAGATTATTTGTGACAATTATTTGACAGCCCAAGATTCATGAACGTGACATACCTTAATTTATCACAAACAAGTGTGCCTTAATGCATAGCTGTTCATGTGAGTGCAGTTCTGGCCTGAGGCAGCGTAAATGAAGAGACTATCAGGCATATGAATAGTATCTGTCCCCATTTCAACTGCTGCGTCATGTGAGGGGTCGCTGCCACCTTATCAAAGACCTGCTTGTTCTTTTTAACACTTCATCGAAAGAGAAAAGATTTCAAGTTCACCTCGTGTAATGCATGAGAAATGATCATTTCATAAAGAGAAATATTGTTGACCACTCAAGTTTTGAATAAGCTTCAAATGTGCCTAAATATACATCCAAAAACTAAAAATAATATTTTCTCTCGATATCAGTACCTACAATGTGCTGTGGATGACTTTGAATAGATGTATCAATTCTCTAGCACGTTGTAGAGGACTCAATCAGTACATTGTCCAAAAATGTGTGATTTATTGAAGGAAAATAATAGTGGCAGTTGCTTACTATAAACATTGAGGGGAACACGTTCTCTAAATATTCAGGATGTTAGTCGATCATTATGGGTCTTTATGAGTGAATCATTGATTCATTCCCTTAAGTAATTCATTTGACTGACTCAACAGTGATTCATTCTGGAACACACTTGGTTTAATCATTTGCCTGGTGAATCATTTGATTGATTCAAAAATACTGATTTGTTCAGCAACGAACCACAGTGAATTCAATTCAAGTTTATTTGTATAGAGCTTTTCACGATACAAATCGTTGCAAAGCAGCTTTACAGAACATTAAGTTTCTACAATTTATTTAGTAGTAGCTTGTCAGTGGTGACTGTCAAATTGATGTACATATGGCAGAAATGTACGGTAAAATTCAGTTAATGACGTAATCAAACAGACAATAAACACTATTAACAGCAATGATTGTATGTTGCAATCAAACTTGTAGCAAAATTTGGTAGTTTTGGTTGTTTCAGGGTTGGCGTCATCTGAGGTCCTCTGAGGGGTTTGCATCATCTCTTCTCAGGTGTTCGGTCATCTCAGGTCTTTGTAACGGCTGTCAATCCCGTGGCAGAAACAGAGAAACAAATAGAGACATAATTAGCATAGCTGCTGTTCCAACCAAGCAAAAATTATTTGTTCAATGCTTGGCCAAAGAGATGTGTTTAATCTAGATTTAAACCGAGAGAGTGTGTCTGGAATCATAAAGGCTATTCCAGAGTTTGGGAGCCAAATGTGAAAAAGCTCTACCTCCTTTAGTGGACTTTGCTATCCTAGGTACTACCAAAAGTCCAGAGTTTTGCGACCTTAGGGAGTGTGATGGATTGTAGCATGGTAGAAGGCTAGTTAGGTACGCAGGAGCTAAACCATTAAGGGCCTTGTAGGTAAGTAATAATATTTTGTAACTGATACGGAACTTAATAGGTAACCATTGCAGAGACTGTAAAATTGGGGTAATATGATCATATTTTCTTGACCTGGTAGTAATTTAAAGTTTTATCTGGTCTTGTTGAGATATATAGTTGAGTATCATCAGCATAACAATGGAAACTAATTCCGTATTTTCTAATAATATTACCAAGGGGTAACATGTTTATTGAAAATAGCAGAGGACCTAGGACAGATCCTTGTGGCACTCCATACTTTACTGGTGATAATTGAGATGACTCCCCATTTAAGTAAACAAAGTGGTAGCGATCGGACAGGTAGGATCTAAACCATCTTAAAGCCTGCCCTTGAATACCTGTATAGTTTTGTAATCAATCTATGAGTATGTCATGATCTATAGTGTCGAATGCAGCACTAAGATCAAGTAAAACTAGCAATGAAATGAAGCCTTGGTCTGACGCAAGAAGAAAGTCATTTGTAATTTAAATTAAATTTAAATGAAATTCTTCATAGAGATCATTTTTTTGCAAGAAGGAGCACAATTGAGCAGACAAGTTTTTCTAAAATTTTAGACATAAACGAAAGATTTAAAATGGGTCTGTAATTTGCCAGTTCATTAGGATCTAGTTGTGGTTTCTTAATAAGAGGCGTAATAACCTCCAGCTTGAATGGTTTTGGGACGTGACCTAAAGATAACGATGAGTTAATAATATTGAGAAGCGGTTCTTCTGCTACAGGTAACAACTCTTGTAGTAATTTGGTGGGTACAGAATCTAATAGGCATGTTGTTGGTTTAGATGCAGTGATAAGATTATTTAGCTCATCCTGTCCTATATTTGTAAAGCACTGCAGTTTTTCTTTGGGGAAAAAACATTTAACAAACCAACTCGATCAATTACACTGATTCATTTAGAAACGGTATTAATGTGTGTTGATTGGAGACCTGCAACCATTAATTCTCCTGTGGCTTTGTTTGAAACTGTTGACATAATTTCAATATTGTCTAAAGTTTAAATATGAACCTCATGTTATTGTATGAAATCAATATCAATATTATGCTTATGACCGAATCACAGCTCTTAATTGTGTGATATTACTGTACCTAAATGTATTTTGTCAGTAGTGCAAACAGTAACTAGTATGAATAACAACTTCAACAAGAATTTCAGTTGAATTTTAAATAATGTACTGCAAATGTTCATAAATATTAGTTTACATCTCATACAGAAGTACTAAAATTACTAAAACTAAAACTGAAAAAAGGCATTAAAGCTAAATAGAAAGATAATAAATATAAAAAGCACATGAAAATACTACAATAAAAATCAAAACTGATCATATAAAAGCTAATTTAAAAAATGTATAAATACTATAAAAATATGTAAATAATAAAGTAACACTGATCCAGTAAAAACTATAAATAACAGTTTAGTAATCTCAAATATCTTGTGTCCTATGAAGTTCGAGACTCCTTGCACCTCAGAGAAGACATTCGGGGTCAGCTTAAAGACGCCTCCTCGGTCACCTCCAAAGCCTACAGCACCTTTCGCCGGGACGTGGACCCCGAGATAGAGCCGATGGGATCGGGAGTGGATGGGATGGAGGAGGTGGTGGAGGAGACCCAGATGAGCCAGGCCATCGCCATCATGAAACCCATCTTACGTTTCCTTCAGCTGCTCTGTGAGAATCATAACAGGGACTTGCAGGTGATGCAATTCATTTTTATTGGTCTGGTTTTGTTCAGCTGTAGTTTGTTTTGGCTATTAATCATTTTAGTGTATTACTTGTGTTAAACACCGCAATGTGAACTGGTACATGGTGTGCTTAGAAGTCAAATCCATTGATGCTGCCTTCACCGTGTCAGCAAATCAGAGGGCTTTAAATAAGTGTGTTCCATTGTGAGAAGAAAAATCGCCTTGATGTTTGAAAAGTAAACATGTTTTGCTGTGGAGATCAAAATCTCAAGCGACCTAGTATGGACGAGTCTGTCTGAATAGAGATACCATTTACTGCCACTCAGGACTTAACTTGTGTTGTTTGTCCAAATCTTTTTGTTCTTTTGTATACAGAATTTTCTGCGAGATCAGAACAACAAAACCAATTATAACCTGGTGTGTGAGACGCTGCAGTTTCTTGACTGTATCTGTGGCAGTACGACAGGAGGACTGGGGCTGCTGGGGCTCTACATTAATGAGAGGAATGTGGACCTGGTCAAACAGACACTAGAGACCATCACAGAGTACTGCCAGGGACCTTGCCACGAAAACCAGGTATTGAAACGGCATCCTTTTTGGAAAATGGGGACAAATCTTATTCCACATGGAAAACTGAATCCGAGGGTAACACTTTACAGTAACAGTACATGAATAATATGTACTAATACCTGATTTAAGTATGAGGTAATGATGAGTTAAGGCATGTTCTAATCAAGAACCTTAACTGTGACATGAGTCATATGAATTAATGTGTGAAAACTTTCCCCAAAGTGTTAATTAATACAATAACTTACAAACATGTAGTCAAGGTGGTCATTATTCTCACATAAATTCATATTATGTCATACTTGATGTTAGTTTTTGATTAATATATGTTTTAACTCATCCTTAGTTCATACTTATTATTAATGATTATGTAATAATAAGTCATTTTAATCTCTTAGTTTAATGCCATACAGTGCTGTTATTTTGTCTGAGACTATTGAAAATTGTAGAAATGTAATAAAAGTGTAATAAAATAAAAGAATAAAAGTGAAATAAAATATAAATATTTCATGAGAAACTTAAAAATAAATTAAAATAAAGTACTAAAATTACTAAAACTAAAACAAATATAAATATATATATATAAAAAAAAGACAAGCAGATAAATAATTGCTAAAACTTAAAATGAAAACTGAAAATATAAAAATAAAAGCTGTTCAAAATATAAAAAAAATACTATAATGATATCTAATAATAATTTAGAACCAGGCCATGGAAACCCAGGTATTGAAACATCATACTCATTGGAAAAAAAGGGAACAAATCTGTTTCCACAGATTGGTATCATAACTGAACATATTTCTAGCTTTATTAATGGTTATGCAAAAAAAAAGTATTTTCTATATATCTAAGACTTTGTTTGGGATCATAGATTGTGTATTTCCTCCTCCGCAGTCATGCATAGCCAGGCATGAGTCAAACGGCATTGACATCATCATCGCTCTCATTGTGAATCCAATTGATCCGCTGGGGAAGAACCGACTTGACCTTGTGCTGGAGCTGAAGGTACTTATTTGTTGCATTTACTCACGTAGTTTGAATAAGAAAGCAATTGATGTATAATGCAATTTTACAGATAACAGAATGTTCTGAAGCATTGCAAATTTTTGATTTGGCATGTAAAAGCATATGCACATTTATCTCCAGGAGGAAAATATGCAAACATTCTTTACTTCACAGTAATTTAATTAAAAAAATGCTCTCATCTTTGCCATGAAAAATCAGAACAATGCATCTGAACTTCTTCTGGCCATCATGGAAAGTCGTCATGACAGTGAGAATGCAGAGAAGATCCTGTACAAGATGAGACCCAATGAACTGGTGAGCTAATATTATGCAATAGTACTGCTGTTATGTATATAGTTAATGAATATAGTTTACATCATCTCTTATCAGCCAAAACATGCCTGTTCTTTGCCATAATTAAAGTGATGATCTGGTGTCACATCTATAGATTGACGTGATCAAGGAGGCTTACGTTCAAGGAGAAGAGAGTGAGATTGATCAAGAGACATCAGATCAGACCAGACCTAAAGATGTTGGCCACAACATCTACATCCTGGCCCATCAGGTAAGATTTAAATGCTCACTGCAAAACACTGTGCACTTTACCAGTGATTCTCACCTTGGTCTGTATGTGTATGTACATTAGGGGGTACTTGGGAGGCTTTGTTAAACCTTTAAAATTTAATATTTGGTAGACAACTGATTGTGGTTCATCACATGAATTTTCAGTTTATTTTTTAAGGAAAGTGAATGAAATAATGTGTGTGGGGTTTATATTTTTTCTGTACATGACACTCATAAGCCCTATTCGGATGGTAATTGTTTCTCATGTGAACATCTGTAAAAATACATGTACAAGGCACCTCAGTGATAAAACTCATGGATTCAGATGGCAATTTGTTCACAGAGAAATGAGTTCTGAGATCCTGCGAACCTGGTAACATGTTGCTCATGTGGCCAGTCTTTCTTCTTTTTGTTCTTAACAGTTCCCGTTCACTGTAGTGGTGCAGTTGTTATATACTGTTCTAGTAGCATTTCAGTAATAAATATGCATGCAAATTACAGCGTAGTTACTGTACAGTGTTTGGCAGTGGTCAAAAAGGATTTAAACAGTGAATTTTGAATTTATATCTTCTTGTAAACTCAGAGATGTGGATTCGGTTAAGTTAAATTACCACAAAACCTTGGTTTTTGTCAAAAAACAGTAGGTAATTCGGCCAGGGATTTTTGCACAGTTGATGAGAGAAAAGCACAGACGATCTGGATTCAGAATGCAATAAAATTATTGATAAACTACCAGTAATTTGGAGCACTACCATTGACAAAGCACCTTTACATAGAACAATAATATAGTGCTCCAATCTGTTCTTAAAGTAATGGCATAAAATACAAAAACAATTATGCAAGCGAATCGTGCCCACAGCTAAAGTTTAGCTGCTAAACTGTAACGTTAAACACTTAAAACAGTAATGGTGGATAAGTTAGCCGAGTGCTATATGTCTACTGTAATGTTTGAAGAACGCCAGACAAAAGATGCTGTGTCTTAACTTTTAATCAGAATGCAGAACAGCTGTATCACAGGCGCAGCAGCCTAACTAACTCACTCGTCTCTCCCGCATTAACCCTATAACTGCCGGTGCAGCAAAATAAACTGCAATTTCACATTGATTATAAAGTCTGTGCGCTACACTACGTTCTTTATTATTAAACAAAGTAATTATTAGAACAACGTCAGTCTACATTAATCAAGACATTCCTAGGAAATAGCGGGTTCACAGCGAATTATCAGAACTATTTCAGTAAGACCGTAATATCGTGCTTTACCTGGAAACCTAAAGCTGCACTAAGTATACATCACATACTAGCAAAAAAAAATTTATATTTTGAGCACTCAATTGAAATGTGCACATAACGTATCAGTCGTACTTGCAGGTTGTGGTTCGGAGAGCTTGTTAGTCCAAATTAAGAAGATCAGAAGCCGATGAAGATAAAAGCCAAGATTAGAGAAGTCCTCCGTAAAATGATGAGCACACAACAAAAGGTTCAAATTGTATTTCTGTGGTATCCTTGAACACAAAGCTCTTCTAGACATGATGTAAACACACTAACTAGCAGAAGTGTTTGTGGGCAGGTCAGACTCGCGGGCAGGCGGGGATTATGCAAATGTGTTACCCAGTGACGTATAGCGGTAACAGACATAAGATTCGAAAATATGACGACTCGTTAAGGCGATTAAGAATCGACTCTCTCTTTTGAGAGACAATATCTTTATTTATCATGCACTTTTTTGATCATCAACTTTGCAGAATGTTTTCATTTAAGGATAGCTACGTTATAAACTGCAAAAGATATATATTTTCAAAAACCCATATGACCTGCTCTTTAAGCGATATATAATATTCCAAAATGCAGTGTAAGCTAAATCAAATATCTAGTATAATATGAGATTAAATCTGTAACGATGAAAAAATAATAGATTATAAAAACTAATCATGGTTAATCACAAGAATTTTTCATGTTCCTTTTAAGGAAAAAGAACAAAATAATGTATGAATGTATGTTTGAAATGTATGCAGGTTTTACACTCGTAAAAGTGTTACATTGTGAGGCTTTGTTTTCCTTCAGCTGAGTCTATAGTTTTGTTTAAAAAGGCCTTTAATAATAATAATGGCAATCCAGTATAATATAATATTAATAATAATAAGTATAATATTAAGTTAATTTTTGTAAAAATAGAAAAATTCTTCTTAAGGAAGGGTTAAGGTGTCTTGTGAGGAAATCCTCAAGCTAGTTGTGCATTTCTCAGTTTCAGTCTTCTCTTTCACTTCCACACGATTTCTTGACAGGCTCAGCCATCTGCTAGACAGTTTATTTCTATCTAACTGGCTGCTTTCATAATGACATAACCTCAGGTGTTCGTCTATCTGTGTTTTTCGAAACACACTCACACAGATGACTGAAAGAAAGTGCAAGTGTGCATACAGTAGTTCTCTCGCTGTTAGCTTTCCTGGTATAATGTATCTCATGGAAAACTCTTGCCATAGTTTTCGGTGAGATTTTTGTTCAAAATTCAAGACTTTTACTTGGACCCTCTGGCTATTTTATATGGACACCGGTTTGAGAAACTTTGGCCTATGGCTGTATGATCTGGTTGGGGAGGTTTTGCATCAGTTGGACCATCTGCACAATGTTTGTCAGTCTCATTTTTCTGTGTAGTTTCTCACTTGTAGAAAACAAGTAGGGCCTGAGGACATAAGAGTCATACAGAGAGAGAAGGAGAGGGAGTCAAAAGAATAAGTCCTTATCTTCTCGTCTTGCTGACAGTGAGAAAGAAATAAACAAATTAATTTAAGAAATGCTTAAACTCTGATTAAATGGTTATTATTAATTACAGATCGTGACGTAGGTATGTGGGGCGTGTTAGAACGAGCCGTTTTAGGTAGGCGTAGTTAACTCTTAACTTTTATAAAGAATATCTCTTTGGTTTTGAGACTTTAGTCTTTGCAACTTTACAGATCTACTGTACATTATTGTTTCTCCTCTATGCCCAGCCTTTCTGAAACGTGTCGATTTTTACAAAGCTCATCGGTCTGAAAAGCGAGGTGTGCTCTGATTGGCCAGCAGTGCGTTGTGATTCAGAAGCCGATGAAGATAAAAGCCAAGATTAGAGAAGTCCTCCGTAAAATGATGAGCACACAACAAAAGGTTCAAATTGTATTTCTGTGGTATCAATGAACACAAAGCTCTTCTAGACATGATGTAAACACACTAACTAGCAGAAGTGTTTGTGGGCAGGTCAGACTCGCGGGCAGGCGGGGATTATGCAAATGTGTTACCCAGTGACGTATAGCGGTAACAGACATAAGATTCGAAAATATGACGACTCGTTAAGGCGATTAAGAATCGACTCTCTCTTTTGAGAGACAATATCTTTATTTATCATGCACTTTTTTGATCATCAACTTTGCAGAATGTTTTCATTTAAGGATAGCTACGTTATAAACTGCAAAAGATATATATTTTCAAAAACCCATATGACCTGCTCTTTAAGCGATATATAATATTCCAAAATGCAGTGTAAGCTAAATCAAATATCTAGTATAATATGAGATTAAATCTGTAACGATGAAAAAATAATAGATTATAAAAACTAATCATGGTTAATCACAAGAATTTTTCATGTTCCTTTTAAGGAAAAAGAACAAAATAATGTATGAATGTATGTTTGAAATGTATGCAGGTTTTACACTCGTAAAAGTGTTACATTGTGAGGCTTTGTTTTCCTTCAGCTGAGTCTATAGTTTTGTTTAAAAAGGCCTTTAATAATAATAATGGCAATCCAGTATAATATAATATTAATAATAATAAGTATAATATTAAGTTAATTTTTGTAAAAATAGAAAAATTCTTCTTAAGGAAGGGTTAAGGTGTCTTGTGAGGAAATCCTCAAGCTAGTTGTGCATTTCTCAGTTTCAGTCTTCTCTTTCACTTCCACACGATTTCTTGACAGGCTCAGCCATCTGCTAGACAGTTTATTTCTATCTAACTGGCTGCTTTCATAATGACTTAACCTCAGGTGTTCGTCTATCTGTGTTTTTCGAAACACACTCACACAGATGACTGAAAGAAAGTGCAAGTGTGCATACAGTAGTTCTCTCGCTGTTAGCTTTCCTGGTATAATGAATCTCATGGAAAACTCTTGCCATAGTTTTCGGTGAGATTTTTGTTCAAAATTCAAGACTTTTACTTGGACCCTCTGGCTATTTTATATGGACACCGGTTTGAGAAACTTTGGCCTATGGCTGTATGATCTGGTTGGGGAGGTTTTGCATCAGTTGGACCATCTGCACAATGTTTGTCAGTCTCATTTTTCTGTGTAGTTTCTCACTTGTAGAAAACAAGTAGGGCCTGAGGACATAAGAGTCATACAGAGAGAGAAGGAGAGGGAGTCAAAAGAATAAGTCCTTATCTTCTCGTCTTGCTGACAGTGAGAAAGAAATAAACAAATTAATTTAAGAAATGCTTAAACTCTGATTAAATGGTTATTATTAATTACAGATCGTGACGTAGGTATGTGGGGCGTGTTAGAACGAGCCGTTTTAGGTAGGCGTAGTTAACTCTTAACTTTTATAAAGAATATCTCTTTGGTTTTGAGACTTTAGTCTTTGCAACTTTACAGATCTACTGTACATTATTGTTTCTCCTCTATGCCCAGCCTTTCTGAAACGTGTCGATTTTTACAAAGCTCATCGGTCTGAAAAGCGAGGTGTGCTCTGATTGGCCAGCAGTGCGTTGTGATTGGCCGAATACCTCAAGCATGTGACGGAAATGTTACGCTCCTTACCATACTGTGATGCCGTGTCCCAGCGCGACGAGACTAAACCATTAAAACCCATTACAAACAAAGCATTTCTTGCATCCAGTGGGGTAACATAATTACTGATTATAATGACTTGTACTGTCTTTTTACGTGTTGCGTTGCATCGCGCCACGTAAACATAAAACCATGTCTGCATTTGTGATCGGAGAAACGACAAACAACAAGCGCTACTCTACACTGCTCAAAACTCGCGTTTGAATCGTCAGTGGCAAATTCTTTAAATATGAAAACGTACATACAGGCTGTGAGTCAGAAGTGCCAGACTGTCCTTGCAAAGTTGGAACTGCCCCACTTTATAGAAGCAACCTTTGTGCACAGCCGGCATTGTAGTCTACTCTCCCAAGTTCAGGAAACAGTCCTCCGTAAAATGTGCTGCACACATCTGAATATTTGGGTTGAACTGTTCTGGAACAGTGTTGTAAATACAACTTAACCACTGAATTCTAGTTGTGTACTCTTTTGGAAGACCAATCAAAGTAGTTTCACTTTCACAACGAAACATACAGCGTCTCCACAACATGGCGGCGGCAGCAGCAACAATACTACAGCGAGAATCAAAGTTACACCTTCTTTCTTTGTGTAAACATTTGGGAGGTGTTATGACGGTGTCTATGTGACGTAGACATGTGGGGGTGTGTTTAAACGATGCGTTTTAGGAGGGCGTGGACAAGTCGTAACTTTTATAAAGAACTTAATAAACTTTATTAAAAAAATATATTTTTATAAAGGGTTTGAGACTTTAGTCTTTGCAACTTTAGGGATCTTATCTATGCACGAACAGCTTGTAACACTCCAAAGAGAAAGGAAAACTTGAAATTGCATCATATGACCCCTTTAAACTGAATGATGATACTGTAAGCGGTTTTCACGAAGAACATTCCCATGTCCTTTTTCTCCTGTGGTTTTAATTTCTTTTTATTTGTTCTGCACTGTTGATATAGTTGCTTTAGACTGTGTTAGCTCCAGTGCTAAAAAAAAAAACAGCTGCCAAATACAAGATCCTCCTGTGTTTACTTGGTACATGACAAAGTAAATGACATTATTTGATGTCAGTTTAGCTCTCTATTGCGTGCCTTGCTCTCTTCCAGCTCTTATAAACAGATTCCTGATGTTAGCTTTGATCTGAAATGAAAAGGACACTGTGAACATTTTTGGAGCAAACGTGGCTTAGACGTCAATAAGGAGACAAAGTGATTTCACCTTCTTGGTGTCTCAAGTGGCGCACATCTTTTGTGCTCCTCCAGCCTGTGAGAATCCCTCGCTCCCGTTTACTGCATTAAGGCCATTATGTGATAAAGGGACACTGAGGGTGTGGAATGATTACTTGTTTGCCTCAAGGACACATCCTTTTTAGAGGTTAAAGAGTGTCCGCCTTCCTTTCAGACTTGTTGCTTAATAGAAAGGTAACTAGTTTGATTCAATAGACTAAGCAGGCATCTGTATGTATAAACCGCGAGATGGTTCTTTACTTAAATGAATTGCTTGCATCTTGCAGAGCGTCATTGATCGTTCCTTGCCCTTTGATCCGTCATCTGTTGGAAATGATTTTCAGACCGCTGTTTTTGATTAGGTTGTCTCTGGTTCCTGTGTCTCACTAATGCATCTTGGCCACATCGCTGCGGGTATTCAGTCATTGAGATAAACATCAGAGTTCCTCTGCGTAGGCAGCTCTTAAAATGTTTTGATTTTGAAGTAATCAGATTGATCAGTCCTGACCCCTTATGAATTGACTCATCCAGGGGTTGCATTGGCATTATGAAACTGCTAAATTGCTAATATGATTTGTGTTAGCCAAGTCACCAATGTGTCACTAATAGACTAATGGGTGTTGCTGCAACTTCAAACACTTTAAAGTCTTAGAGGTTGGCTTTTAGCTATATTTATTCATTTATAGCTTTTTCTTTATAGTATATGAAGCTAACGTTAAAACTTTTTTTTAATGCCTCCATTTATTTTTGCTACTTTTCAGATGTATAGATGTTTATTTTAGTGTTGTTCCATTGTCCCAGAGCCATATTTTAAGTATTGAACTTTAAAATCCATGTTAAAGTTTAGTTATTGCATGTTAGAAGCTATGATGATCTTAACAAAATAAAATAAACATAAACCATTTCTATATTTATTTTAATAAAATAATTAAGGTCTATTTTTAGGACTTGTACAGTATCTGTAATTTATATCTATACATGTTTACACAAATTATGAATGTCAAACAATCTACAACAAACAATTCTGGACATTATTAGATGGTAAACAAGTATACTAACTTTTGATAAAAGCATGCTTGAGATGAAGCACGATATATAAAGAAAAAGAAGGAAAAGTGCATCAAAAAGTGCATGTTTTTATAGTGCATCATTTCCAGTTATGTCGTCAAATTTTTATCATGCATTTTTAGTCAGACATTTTTAAAAATGTATCTTTTTTTTTTTAATAAAAAAAAATTTAATCTATCTCAAATTTGATTTGAATAATTTATCTCATTTAGTTGGATAACGGCATTATTTAAAGGGGAAGTTTTTTATTTTATTTTTTGGGTGAGTTTTGTCTGTCGGATATCTTTCCACAATTCCTGTCAGTTTTGCTTTTACTTAATCGTGTATTTAGCATACATAAAATGCTAGCTATGAAACTTAACAAGACTAAATAATAGGCCATTTTATTCCAGAAATGTAATTTCCACCTCCAGCATTTCAATCACACAATCTTATTAAATGCAATACATAATTTGAGATGAGGTGAAAATGTAAGTGTGGAGCAAATAGTCATGGTTTTGAGCAAAAATGACAGAATTTTCCTGTAATGCAAACATGTCCGCTAATGGACATTATTAGCTGACGAATCAACTAGTGAGAGTTTATTATTTTTAAAGTCCTCCTCAGTGCCAAAAGTGCCTGTAGTTGAAGAAATGCCCTGATATTGAGCTGCTGTTTCTGAATCTGTTGAATCTGTCATGTTGACTGAAGTGTTTTTGATGATCAGTTGGCACGCCACAGAAAAAACCTCCAGCAGAGTTTGAAACCTGGCCCAGATCCTACCATCGAAGGAGAAGCAGCGCTCCTATACTATGCCAACCACACTGCTCAGATAGAGGTATGACAGTTTGAGAACTTATGGAGATAACTTTGTTTCCCTTCGTTCATTTAATTTGCACCTTTATTGGCTTTTCTATAGCTTTAATGACACATTTGAAGTCTCATTTACTTATCATTGCCTTTATCAGACAATTTAAGTCAAAATATATCAGTTAAACACGATTGATTTCAGATCGTCCGCCATGACCGCACAATGGAGCAGATCGTGTTTCCTGTGCCTAACATCTGCGAGTACTTAACAGAAGAATCAAAAGTGCGCGTGTTCACTACAACAGAGCGAGACGACCAGGGCAGCAAGGTCAACGACTTCTTCCAGCAGTTTGATGACCTCTACATTGAGATGAGGTGGCAGAAGAAAATAAGAAGTGGGTTGTTTTGCTTTGTGCAAAAAACAATGTAACAATTTATCACCAGTTCGAGCCTGTGTCAGAGTCATTATGCTGATGTATTGCCTTGTGTTTGCAGATAATGCACCACTTTTCTGGGTGTCAAAACATATATCTCTATGGGGTAGTATCTCCTTTAACTTGGCTGTGCTAATCAACTTGGCTGTCGCTCTTTTCTACCCATTTGGAGATGATGGAGATGAAGGTATGGCTTTGATTTTTAATATATTAACAAATTGCATAATTATGGCCCTATTGTTTCCAAACTGTGGAAAATGCAGACAGAATCACGGAATCCAGTCATAGTGAAATGTATTGTATAATGTGGAATTTCACAAAATTTTCCAAATTTGGATTAATAAATCATAAGTAGGAATATACACTGTGAATAGTAAACTGCAAAAAGACTGATATTTAAATTTGAGGTAACTCAAAAATCTGGAGAAACTCAAAGCTCTGCCAATGTTTGGTTTAACTTGAACAAATTATGACAGGAATATACAGTATATTGTACAGTAAAGTAATGATGCCATTTTTAAAAAATATTATTTTTATAGGAATACCACTGTTTTTTAATGCATGTTTAAATTTTAAAACCTTTTGTGCAGAATTTTGTTTACCAAAAAAAGAAAAGAATTGTTCAAATTTCATTTGATTACATTTTAAAACGTTAATTAAATGGTTTATTTAAGTTTTATGCTTTTATTTGATTACCATGTTTTTATAATAAATTTGTATTAAATCAGAAAACAGAATCCAGAACAATTAAAACAGACAACACAGAATTTAAACACATTTCATTGTGCAATGTCATTTTAAAACTACTACTATTGTTTTGTTAACGTTTTATGTATTAATTTGATTAGATATCCTTTTTTATTAATACAATTTAAACTATTAAAACTGAATTCAGAATAATTTAAACTGAAAACACAAATTTTGGGGGGGGGAAATAAAGCTGAATTCATATTCACATAATGGCATTATTTAAAGGGGTAGTTCACCCCAAAGTTTTCATGCAGTTCTTTGTTCTCTCTCTCAGGTGTCTTGCCACCATTCTTGTCCATCTTGCTTTGGGTGGCAGTGGTTGTGAGCACCTTCACGTAAATTTAAACTATTAAAACTGAATTCAGAATAATTTAAACTGAAAACACAAATTTTGGGGGGGGAAATAAAGCTGAATTCATATTCACATAATGGCATTATTTAAAGGGGTAGTTCACCCCAAAGTTTTCATGCAGTTCTTTGTTCTCTCTCTCAGGTGTCTTGCCACCATTCTTGTCCATCTTGCTTTGGGTGGCAGTGGTTGTGAGCACCTTCACGTTGTTTGTTCTTCCCCCGCGTGGAGGTATCCTGGCGTTCCTGGTCACCGTCATCTTCCGTTCTATTTACACGCTGGGCTTAGGACCCACACTGCTGCTTCTGGGGGCCGCCAACGTAAGGCAAATTCATTATCAACCATTCACGCTTCATTTAGCTCGTCAGCACTCTGCGTCCGTGAATTGATTAAATGTCAAAGTGTATTTTGAATGTATAAACCAACTGAACTCCTATTAGAAAAGACCAGCCGCTAACACCTCATGTTCGCTGATTAATCGCTAATACCAATTAATTACGAGAAGCCGCTCGATATCTGGCTAAATATGAAAGATGGCAGAAGAGGAACTAGTGTTGCCATTTTGCATCAGTGTCAGTTACGATGACCGAAGCGGCTGATGTGCTTAATGTGCGTTCAGATAAAAATTGAGAGCGATTTCATGCCTCTCTCCCAGCCAACTGGAGCTTCAGCCTTCAAACTGCTGACACGTCCCTCTGTTGTGTCAGTCTGTTTGCGTCTCCTCAAGCTGGCGTCTCCTCAGCCATTATGGCACCACATGAAGAACCAACAGAGACATGTGCTGAAACAGATTCTAGGAGTCTGGGATCTGTCATACTACATGCCACTTGCCACGTCTTCTAGTGGTCGCCACAAACTGTGTATCCTCACTGCAAGTGAACTCGTATATATTTTCTTTCAACTTGCTCAGGGTTTTGAGGATGAGGGCATGTCACACAATTGGCCATGTTGGTGTCTGCTTAATCATGCTAGCTTCTACCAAGACGCGCTTACTTTGATGTCAGCCGAAAAAGATATGGAAACATTTTCTCTTTCATTTAGAAGTTATTTATTTATAACCTTATTTATTTTCCCAACTATGCATGCTTTATATAGTTAGGTGTTTCAATTACTGCAGTATATGACTCAAAAGTATTGAAGCCTTTTTCTTGACTTTTTCTCGCAAAACAAATGTTTTCTGCAACTTAGTAGAAACAGAAAACAGAATTGTGAGATGTAAACTCAGAATTCAGAGGAAAAAAAGTCAAAAATGCGAGATATAAATTATGAATTGTAAAATGTAAACTAGTAATTGCAAGAAAAAGAGTCTGACTTGTAAGATACAAAGTCGTAATTACCTTTACAAAAAGTCCTAAAGGACTTCCATAGAAGAGTGCTTTAATTGAAGGCAGTTGAATATTTTAATGTGATTGTAAGGATGCTAATGCTATAGCATTATCTTCTAATGTCTTTTCACAGCTGCTGAATAAAATCGTGTTCCTGGTTAGTTTTGTGGGGAACGAGGGCACGTTCACACGAGGGTACAAAGCAGTTATCCTGGACATCTTCTTCCTTCTGCATGTCAGTTATGTCATCGTTTGCATGCTGGGCCTGTTCGTACACGAGTTCTTCTACAGTATTCTGGTAAGACTTCACACCTTTTCCAGTATAATTTTTAGCAATACATGAAATTAATGATTTCATTTAGAGGTTAGAAGTGTAGTCCATGGATGCTTGCTTAAAGAGAAATTTTATGAGTATTTTTATGGCTGCCAAAGTTATAACGTTAACTTAAGATATGAATTAAAAAGTTAACACAATAATTTAATACATTTATTGTGTTTTATTTTACTGATACTTATTGTTTCATTCCAGCTTCTAAAAACTGGACAAAAATCATGAGGTTAATTACAACTAGTTTATTTTATTGACTGTTAGTTTTTAACAGCAAAAGAAAAAAAATCTTATTACTGTAAAAGTGTATGCACTACTGTTCAAAAGTTTGGGGTTGGCATTTTTTTTTTTTATGTTTTGATAATCTCTTATGTTCCCCAAGGCTGCATTTATTTAATACAGAAAAAAAGAACAGTAATATTGTAAAATATTTAAAATAACTGTTCTATTTTAATATATTTTAAAACGTAGTTTATTCCTGTGATGGCAGAGCTGAATGTTTAGCTTCCATTTCTCCCGTCATCAGTGTCACATAATTCTTCAGAAATGTTCATAATATGCAAATTTGGTGCTCAAGAAAAAATTCTTATTATTATTAATGTTGAAAACAGTTGTTTTGCATAATATTTTTGTGGAAAATGTTATACATTTTTTCAGAATTCTTTGAGGAATGAAAAGTTCAAAAGAACAGTATTTATTTGAGTTTCATTCCAGCTTCTAAAAACTGGACAAAAATCATGAGGTTAATTACAACTAGTTTATTTTATTGACTGTGTTAGTTTTTAACAGCAAAAGAAAAAAAATCTTATTACTGTAAAAGTGTATGCACTACTGTTCAAAAGTTTGGGGTTGGCATTTTTTTTTTTATGTTTTGATAATCTCTTATGTTCCCCAAGGCTGCATTTATTTAATACAGAAAAAAAGAACAGTAATATTGTAAAATATTTAAAATAACTGTTCTATTTTAATATATTTTAAAACGTAGTTTATTCCTGTGATGGCAGAGCTGAATGTTTAGCTTCCATTTCTCCCGTCATCAGTGTCACATAATTCTTCAGAAATGTTCATAATATGCAAATTTGGTGCTCAAGAAAAAATTCTTATTATTATTAATGTTGAAAACAGTTGTTTTGCATAATATTTTTGTGGAAAATGTTATACATTTTTTCAGAATTCTTTGAGGAATGAAAAGTTCAAAAGAACAGTATTTATTTGAAACAAATTTTTTTTAGCAATGTAAAAGTCTTTACTGTCACTTTTGATCAATGTAATGCTAAATTAATCATTTCTTTTTGGCTTTAGAACAGTGACAATTTAAATAAATTATTTATAGTTATTTAATTTCCTAATCAACATGTTTTTATAATATCATCTTCTTTCTCTCTTCTATTCCCTCTAGTTGTTTGATCTTGTGCGAAGAGAGGAAACGCTTCTAAATGTGATGAGGAGTGTGACGAAGAATGGCCGCTCCATCTTCCTCACAGCTGTTCTGGCTATCATCCTGGTCTACCTCTTCTCCATTGTGGGCTTCCTCTTCTTTAAAGATGACTTCCTCATGGAAGTCGACCGCCTCCCTGCTTTAAGTAAGCATGAAGTGTACATGGTGTCCCCGTTATGCTCTTTGCTGTGGTGGCCTCCTATCTTTCCAGCCGCACATTATGTAGAACTTGTGGTTTTAGTCTTTCGTTTCATATTATATTACCCAAATGTTCTGCATGAATGAAGTCAATATCATGTGCTAATATGCATCCCTGCATATCGTATGAGTAAACAACTTGGTATGAATAGCACTAAAATGACTCTTTTAGAGAGAGTACCACATCTGTGATGTATTCAGTTTGTACATTCATGTACGCATGTGAACGTGTGAAGGTGATTACTTGTGTTTGTGTGTATGTGTTTATATGAACACACATGGCCATGTAGCTGTGTTGAGGTAAGAGAGAGGACCTGCTAGCACATGGCACCTGCTGCATAACCCAGCAGTGGCCACACTCCCTGATGTAATCACTTCCTCTGTGCACTGCATCACTGTACAAGCACTGGGGACAGAAATGGCACACACATACACGCGTGCACTGGAATACAACGCACAGTTTAATAAAACATTTCAGTTGTGGCAATACAAAACGTTTGACTTTTGAATTGTTAAGCACATGCTATGAATGTAGATTTTTACATTTTTACCAAGAAAAAAAACTGTATATAACTCATGTTATATTTGTTTGGTTTGTCTTTTAGAGAAGATGAACGTGAAGGAGTCTATGAACTGCCTGAGTGAGACCTGTTCTAACTCCCCTTTTAGTTCTCACCACGGTAAGTCACCATTTTTACAGTGGTCCCAAACAATTTCTGGACACTTAGGCCACACATAAAACGTGTGTCCTTGAAATAAAATGAAATATAGCAAACTTTTCAAGCAAAACATGTCACAAAAAGAATCTTGTAAAAGCTTTTTAATTAAATTTACAATAATAATGTTTAAAATTTGTATTTATTTGGACACCCAAATGGTTTTTAACTTTGAGGAAAACTTTTATTTACAGTTACCACTTGGTTTGATATATTTTTGCTTAATGTGATGACAATCATGCTTTTTTTTTTTTTTTTTTAAGTTTTGGTGATTTTGATGTTACTTAAGTGATACTTTTTAGGGCCACGGTTCACTATATAGATCCATAAATCAAACCATGAAATGGTTTGAGAAGCATGATGTCTGCTGTATATAACTCATGTTATATTTGTTTGGTTTGTCTTTTAGAGAAGATGAATGTGAAGGAGTCTATGAACTGCCTGAGTGAGACCTGTTCTAACTCCCCTTTTAGTTCTCACCACGGTAAGTCACCATTTTTACAGTGGTCCCAAACAATTTCTGGACACTTAGGCCACACATAAAACGTGTGTCCTTGAAATAAAATGAAATATAGCAAACTTTTCAAGCAAAACATGTCACAAAAAGAATCTTGTAAAAGCTTTTTAATTAAATTTACAATAATAATGTTTAAAATTTGTATTTATTTGGACACCCAAATGGTTTTTAACTTTGAGGAAAACTTTTATTTACAGTTACCACTTGGTTTGATATATTTTTGCTCAATGTGATGACAATCATGCTTTTTTTTTTTTTTTTTTTTTTTTTAAATTTTTGGTGTACAATTTCTGGACACTTAGGCCACACATAAAACGTGTGTCCTTGAAATAAAATGAAATATAGCAAACTTTTCAAGCAAAACATGTCACAAAAAGAATCTTGTAAAAGCTTTTTAATTAAATTTACAATAATAATGTTTAAAATTTGTATTTATTTGGACACCCAAATGGTTTTTAACTTTGAGGAAAACTTTTTTTTTACAGTTACCACTTGGTTTGATATATTTTTGCTTAATGTGATGACAATCATGCTTTTTTTTTTTTTTTTTTAAGTTTTGGTGATTTTGATGTTACTTAAGTGATACTTTTTAGGGCCACGGTTCACTATATAGATCCATAAATCAAACCATGAAATGGTTTGAGAAGCATGATGTCTGCTCTGCAGTGTGATTTCCATACAGCTGTGCTTGTGTATCATTAGGCTGTAAAAACTTGGACTTTAATTAGTTTTTAATTTATTTGAGTGTCATTTTGTGGACATCAAGAATAATTCAGTATTTACTGTGCAGCATTGCAGTTTCTCTTTTGATTTCACCTCCGTCTCACCCTTCAGCTGAATGTTCTTGCATAATCTGCAATAGTGGTGACATGTCGTGTGATTTGCGTGTGCGTGTGTGTTTATGGTTTTCCTAAGCGTTTGTTTTTAAAGGGCTGGTCCTGAGTATCTGTTATAGAGGTTAAGGTGCTGAGATGACCCGTGAGAGTGTGTGTATGTGTGTTGAGGAGATGACTCATGTGCTTCTTTGTTTTGCTTTGCCCTGTGAGTCTTTAAATATCACCTGTTCTTCTAGATATCAACACGTGCGCGCTCTCTCTCTTTCTTTTGACCTCTGTGGTCTCTCTGTCCTTCACTTATTCCTTACTTACCTTTCCATGCTCATTCTTTTGATCTCCTTCTTTCTTGTTTTGTGTCTTTTCTTAGTCTCTGTTTTTTCTTTATATGTATATATATTATAGTGTATACATTTAAAACTTATATATACTGTGTGTGTGTATATATATATATATATATATACACACAGTGTATATATACACTACTTGCATATACAGTGGAGTCCACTTGTGAAAATCTCTGAAATCTCTAGTTTGCATTTAATAGAAATAGAGCGATGGAATGATTGATGAATTGATTGACTGACTCAGACAAATGTATCAAATGTATTTACAAAATAAATGTATAAGTAAAAATTCTAAATATATAATATGAATAGATAATTACACATCTAAATATATAGAACATGATTAAATATCCTGAATATAGTTCTGAATAGACTATATATCTAAATATGTAAAGAATTGTGAAATTGTTAATTATGTGTAGTAAGAATCATAATTATATAGTTATGATTAAAAATACATGATTATTTATGATTTTATGATTGTTTTATAATAATATGAATTTTATACAGAATGTATAGTTAGAGTTCTGAATAGATTATGTACATATATGAAAATACATGTGTAAAAAATGTTAGACATCCATATATATATATATATATATTATATAAATATGGAAGATAAAATTCTGAATATTTATAGTTAATATTCTGAATAGATAATAATACATCTCCTGAATATAGTTCTGAATAGACTATATATCTAAATATGTAAAGAATTGTGAAATTGTTAATTATGTGTAGTAAGAATCATAATTATATAGTTATGATTAAAAATACATGATTATTTATGATTTTATGATTGTTTTATAATAATATGAATTTAAATGTTTAAATAAACAAGTACTAAAAATCCTGAATATATATATATATAT